CAGTGAGTTCAGAGAAAGGGGGTTAATGTCAGGCAGTGCAAAGTTGGGGAACAGATGAACCCTGTTTTGTTCCCTGTGTGCTCAGCACTTTCCACCATGCTTTGCTCAGTGTGTTCGTGAAAAACCTCACAGAATGAACGAACAAATGAGAACAAACTATTCATAATTCCGCCAGAGGGAATCATTGTTGACATGTTAGTGCATTTTTTTCTTTTTCTCTAAATATACAATAAACACGTTTTTAAAACTTCAGTAACTTTTTTTTTTTTCAAAAATAGCATGTTCATCTCAGAAAAAGGAGAAAATGTTGATAAGCAACATAGTACTAATAGCTAACATGCTTAATGCTCATTCTTTGTCAGGCAAAACAAGCTTCTCACCTACTGGTAATGACTCACATTTTGTATATGTCCTTCATATAGGACTCTCTTTTATTCCAAGTGTTCACTTTTTAAAAATACTTGGGCTCAAAATGTTTATATAATTCGGTATTATTTAACATTATCTTTTAACATTTTCCCATGTCATTGAAAATTCTTTTAAGAATCATTTTCAGCCGAAACCGGTTTGGCTCAGTGGATAGAGCGTCGGCCTGCGGACTGAAAGGTCCCAGGTTTGATTCCGGTCAAGGGCATGTACCTGGGTTGCGGGCACATCCCCAGTAGGAGATGTGCAGGAGGCAGCTGATCGATGTCTCTCTCATCGATGTTTCTAACTCTCTATCTCTCTCCCTTCCTCTCTGTAAAAAAATCAATAAAATATATTAAAAAAAAAAAAGAATCATTTTCAGTGGCTGTTTATCCTATCCTGGGAGATACTCTAACTGGTACCAGGCCAGGCAGAGACTCTACCGTCTCCTCTATCTGTGGCCGATAGGGATCCCCTATAGGTTTTTTGAAAACCTCACTCGAAGATATGTTTGTATTGATTTTTATAGAGAAAGGAAGTGAGACGAGGGTGGGGTGTCAGACACGTCAATGTCAGGGACACGTTTTAGTTGTTTGTTTGTTTGTTTGCTTTCGTTGTTGTTATTTAATAAACTTTGTTTTAGAACAGTTAAGATTTATAGAAAAATTGAGATGATAATAAGAGAGTTTCCATATACCAGGTCTGTCACACCCAGTTTCCCCCACTATGAACATCTTCCATTACTATGGGACATTTGTCACAATTAATGAACCAGTACCGATACATTATTATTCACTCAAGCTCAGATTTTATTCAGAATTCCTCATGTCCTTTTTCTGTCCCAGGAAACCATGCAGCATACATTACAGTTTATCATGCCTCCTTAGGCTCCTCTTGACTATGACAGTTTTTCAGATTTTCCTTGTTTTTGATGAACTTGACAGTTTATTCTTATTTTTATCCTTTATTGATGTTTATTTTTATTAATATATTTTTATTTATTTCAGAGAGGAAGGGAGAGAGAGACTGGGAATTGAGCAGTAACCTCTTGGTTCCTTGATTGACACTCAACTGCTGAGCCACACCAGCTAGGTGACCTTGACAGTTTTGAAGAGCAGAGATTTTGTAGGATATCTCTCAAGTGGAACTCTTCTGATGCTTTTCTTTCTTCATTTTTCTTCTGATGTTTTCCTTGCTAGATCGGTGTTCCTGTGGGGAAGACCAGAGGTAAAAATGCCATTGCATCACATCGTATCAAGGGGACCTACTATTAACCGGATCTTAATTTTGATCACCTGGTTGAAAGGGTGTTAAGGATCCTCCGCTGTAATGTTACTCGTGTGCCCCTCCCCCATCACTTCAAACTGTCCTCTTGGGAAGGAAGTCACTGTGCACGGTAGGGGTTTATGGTCCCCCTTGAGGGCGGAGTAGATACATCATTTGGAATTCTCCACGGGAAATTTGCCTATTATCCCCCTTTTATTTCTGGGTTCAATCATTTATCTCAGAATAGACCTGTGGATATTTGTCTTATACTTTAGGCTATTGTCCAATAATTCTCTATTTTGTTGTTCGCATTGTTCCAGATTTGGCCTTTGGAAGCTCTTTCAGCTGGTTCCTGTGTCCATTTGTCTTAGCTCCATCTTTCTCTTCTTGTATTTGTTTACACTTCCTTCTGTACTACAAAATGCTACAGACTCATCTTGTGTATTTCCTGCCCCGGACCTAAAATCAGTCATTTCTCCAAGGAGAATGTCAGGGGCAAGTTTAAATCTTAGCAAATGTGCTGTGAGGCTGGAAAGTGATCTGACAGGTGGGCAGTAAGACTCAGCCACCTTTAGGAGGGAATTTTCCCAGCAGTAGCAGCCAGAATTGCAAGTCCTAGCTGAGAAATAGGTGACTCACCAGCTCCTCAGGTTGTCTCCTCCCTCCCTCCTCCTCTTGCTGACAACACTGTCCCTACACCAGCTCAGACAGAGGGACCTAGGTCAGAAAGTGTCCCCGCCCATTGGGCTAGAGAAGAATGGCCTGTCTCAGGCCAAGTCAAAGCTTTTACCCATGCCCAGCAGACACCTCCCCCCATTTGTGTGTTATATATACTCCTCCTACCTGCAGAAAGGATTAAACAGGATTACTCTTAAATTTACAGCTACAATTAAACTATTATTAAAACTTGGGTAGGCCTGGCCCGCGTGGCTCAGCGGTTGAGAGTTGACCTATGAACCAGGAGGTCACAATTCGATTTCCAGTTGGGGCACATGCCCACCCAGGTTGCAGGTTTCGACCCCCCAGTGTGGGGCATGCAGAAGGCAGCCAATCAATGATTCTCTCTCATCATTGATGTTTCTATCTCTCTCTCCCTCTCCCTTCCTCTCTGAAATCAATAAAAATATATTTTTTTAAAAAAACACGGGTAAAAGGACAAGAGCACTGTGAAGATGAAAGAGAGAGAGAGAGAGAGAGAGAGAGAGAGAGAGAGAGAGAGAGAGAGTAGTAATTTTGTCCAGACACCTGGGCTGGGGCAACTTGCCTACGTTCCCCAAATCACAGATTGCAAGCACCAGAAGGGCTTTCAGAAATAAACGCACTTATGGGTTAAGTGATTTCTCAGCAAATTTCTCAGGAAGTCACACAGCAAATGAGCTGAAGAACTAGGGATACTGTGACAGGTCTCTTGATGTTCAAATTCCCATTCTTTCCTCCCTTTCCAGGACAGTGAAAAGAACAGTTTTTCAGACCTTCTGTGGGATACAATGGCAAGGCAACACCTTGGGGCCTTTTTCACTTGCTAGGTGAATAAACATGTGTGGATGTGGCTGAAAAGTCTTTGGGACTATAATTAAGGATTATTAGCATCCCCAGATGTTTGGATATAGGAGAAATAGGATGTAGACATGGGGATATAGAAGTGGATAGTGGGGATCCTACCATTTCCCCACAGTCAAGATTTTAATGGTTAAAATCGGCAACTTTCTAGCTATTATCCTCAACTTTTGAATAAAAATAAAAGAAGAAGAAAGAAAGGAAAACATAAAAATCAGGGATTTTGAGACTTTCCCTAAGAGATCCAGAGATTTGGATTTGTGGGTGTTTATACTGCTAACTGTTTGAGAAGTAGGATTATCTCTTCTCTTTAATATTCATTGCCTTACACGGACAACAGGGGGATGAGAGCATGAGTGGGGGGTTGAGGTTGGGAGTTAATGGGGGGATGAGGACACATTTGTAATACCTTAACCAATAAAGAAATTAAAAAAAAATATGTATTCATTGCCTTCTTCCCCTCCCAACACTCTCCCTGCAACAACTCACGAAGGACACATTTTGAATGATTTTTGTATAGGCTGAAGTGAAAGACTGCCTGGAGTTTAGAGAAAGGATTCTGGGCCTGATGTCACTTGGTGGTGTGGCTGCAATAGAGATGAAATTAGCAACAGGTTACTCTTCACTTGCTCTCTTGGTGACCTCCCTAGGCCACCCGCGATATCTTGTCTGTCTACAAACTCCTTCTAGGGTAAGGACAGTGGGTAGCCCAGAGTCGCGTGTGCTTTTGATGAAGGAGGAGGAGGAGGAGGAAGAGAAAGAGGAAGAAGAAGAAGAAGGAGAAAAAGAAGAAGAAGGAGGAGGAGGAAGAGGAGGAGGAGGAGAAATTGGGGCATTTCGGACATAGAAAATATTCATATGAAGAATTGCACTTGAAGACCCTCCCCCCCCCAGCTGGTTCTCCCACACCCGGAGTTCCTTCAGCAGCGCAGAGGGAAGGTGTTTAAGGCCTGCCTTCTGAGGAAGCTGTGCCCCGAAAGGGAGTACAATACATTCCTGACCTGTTCACGCTCGAGTGTATTTTCTGCCTCTTTATGATCCATATATTTTTAAAAATCATTCTTTAATTAATAAAATTATTATCCAGACTTTTTATACCCGTACAACCATATGTCAGGTTTGCTTTAATTTGAATACGTTTATCCTCCATATCTTTCTCTGACAAAAACACCTAGCTCTGCCTCATTTTGGCGATGCTTTGTCCTTGCACCTGTGCGATTCTCCAAGCGTCATTT